GGATATCAATTGAGGAGCAACGAGTATGGAATCGATGTCCAGGTTGGAACAATGCAACGCGGGGCCGAGACATGTGGGGCCTTGCCTCCTGCCCTCGCCAGATTGCATTTGCTTTAATTCTCTGCTTAAGTTTAATTTGTCTTCACCTGGCTCACTGCTTTGAAACTTTGCATCTTTTCATTATTTATACAGTTTTATTTTTTCAGGCCAAGCCCACTTGAACTATTCCGCTCTCTTTCAGAAGCGACCTGCCCACAACAAAGTGGATTATCAACGTGTGGAAATGAATATCGGTCAATGTGGAGTTTAGTGGAGCATGTCTTTCCACAGCAATAGGACTTGCATCTTGGTGTTGATGACATTTTTGCAGTGCTGGTGAGCCTGTCTAGTATTGTCAGACATGCAAGTAGATCTGTGGTAATATAGGTAGGTCATTAGCTAGTGGCAGCAGACTGCCAATGCGATTATGTACCTGGCCCTGCACTTTAAATGTGGGCATGTAGCCAGATGTCGTGATGAGTTGGTTGGTGCCAAAATATCGAGCTTCGGCATTGGCTTGCATCGATAGTGTTGGCAGGTATAAATACATGAATAGGCTCGGGATGGTCATTAATTGCAGTAACTGCAAGAAGTAGACATGGAACCAATGGCAGGAAATTATTTGGCTGTAGGTGCAGCCATGGCAGCACTGGCAGCATGCTGTCTTGTTTCTTGGTGTTCAGGAGTGGCATTATCATTAGGTGCAGACACCCTGGCAACATGCTCTTCTTAGTGTTCAGGAGATTCATTAGCTGTAGGTGCAGCACAGGCAGCATGCTGTCTAACTTTGTGTTAAGGAGTTTCATTATTTCTAGGTGGAGCCATTGCAGAACTTGTACCAATCGCATAAATGATTGTAATCGGCTTTGAAGAGAAGCGCACGTTTTCCGCTAGGAACAGTATAGGTGGAGGTTAAAGTTAATAAGCATGAAGAGTAAATAGTGAGTGTGTGAGTGAATGCAATATAAATTCGTAGGTATAAAATGAATGAAATCACGACGTTTCGATTGCAACACAAACAGTCATCATGATCAGGTGGGAAAACCACAGCAAGAATTTTTTGGCTGAAATGGGAGAGAGAATTGCCATGGTAAGAGGTTATATAGGTAAGAAAGGGGGGAGGAGCAAGGGGGCGTGGAGAGGGTTGGTTGGTGGTGTGGGGTAGGGGGAGGGCGAGCGCTGCGTGGTATAGTAATACCCGGCAGATATGATAGATGACAACCAATACAAAGCAGTTAGGGTTTTACCTCGTTAATAACATCTTTCCAACGATTGCTCAATTTGTATCCATCTTCTCGGTTGAAGTTACGTCTATGTTTATATATCTGGATGGCTTCATGAACAAACCTTTGATAGCCCGATGGTTTGCAGAGTACCTTGGTCTCGGGGAAAACAACAATATCATGCGAGCCCATAGCGTTATAACAATGATCAGCCACGGCAGAGGTATTGGTTCTACGATGTTTCAGATCTGCCATGTGTTCGCGAACACGGTCTGAGATATGTCGTTTCATTTCCCCAATGTAACAGCCACCACAGGTGCAACTTAATTTGTCAACTCCAGGATATTGCATGTCAGGAATGACATCCTTCACAGATGGGATTAGATCACTGATTTTGTGTAATTTATTTGGACCTGGATCTTGTGTTTGTTTAAGATTTTGGAAATCTTTTTGGTAACACCTGCTATGTATGGTAACATGATGGTTTTGATCGGCGTCTCAGTGGGTTGTTTCTCCATGGTTGGAGACGCAGCTTTGCGAATAATGCGGTCCGAGTATCCATTCATCTTGAGGGCCTGGTGTACGTGTTCCAGTTCACTGGCTAGGTGGTGTTGGTCAGGAATGCAGTGGGCCCTATGGTGTAGTGTTTTGATGAGGGAATTTTTATGTGCCGGGTGGTGGTGGGAATCAGGTTTCAGATAGGAATCTGTGTGGGTGAATTTCCTGTAGACAGAGTGCCCCAACAAGCCATTCGGCCTCTTCTCAAACAAAACATCCAGGAATGGTAGCTTACCATCCTTCTCCACTTCCATGGTGAATTTGATGGATGGGTGTATGAAATTAATGTGGTTGAGAAATTGGTTCAATGCTGGCAGGCCATGTGGCCAAATGATGAAAGTGTCATCTACATATCTCAAGGAAGGACATAGGGTGGATGTCTGGATGGCATCTTTTTCAAATTTCTCCATGAAAAAATTCGCTATCACTGGTGATAAGGGGGGACCCATGAGGTACCTTCATTTTGTTTGTAGAAAGTACCATTCGAGGTGAAGTAAGTATTGGTAAGGCAGTGCCTAACCAGAGTAGGAACATCAGGATTCAGTCCATGTTGGACTCCATCTTCAATTATTGCTAAGGTGTCAGGCATATGAACCTTGGTGAACAGAGAGACGACATCAAAGCTGACGAGAAAATCATCTGGGGACAGTGAAATGCACTTGATTAGAGAGACCAAGTGAGCTGAGTTACGTACTGATGAGGTAGTCTTGCCAGTGAATGGAAGCAAGGTATCAGACTGAAAATGGGCCTGTTTGTAGGTAGGTGAGTTGATAGTGGAAACGATCCTGATGTTCCTGCTGCTGTATTTTCTGTCTATTGACTACAGCAGAGGTGGATGGATTTTCAACAGAAACTAGATCTCTGCACTCTTAATTAACGCCTATAGTACCATAAAGAGGCTTGGGGCTCCGGGTAGTTATTTGATTAAATAATCAATGCCTCTGCTCACATTTAAAGATTTGTTTGATTTTGGGCAGCCCCATCTAAAATTGCGTGACCAGGAGTCGGAGCCATTTCCTGTTCAACTTGGCTTGTGACAGAAATTCACTCTGGCCCCATGCATTACATTACATAGCAGCTCAATAACTATGTAGTTTGAGAAGATCCCAATGTTCATTTCAAAACCATTGCATTCGTTAGGGTTACAATCATACACGAATCGATGCCTGGTTATAGTTAAAGGATCGTTCCCTGCTGGTCAACCATGTTACATCTGCTGATGATCTGGTAATGGCTACTTAATGAGATGGAATTAGGGAATCTTGTTCTGTGGCTTGATAATTCCATCATGAAATGGGGCCTTGCAAATGTTCCACAAAAAAATCACCTGCCTGGGAATTGAATGTCATCAACAACTGCTCCTGCTCAACTCTCCATTAATAATCATGCAGTTCTCCATGTGTTGGAGGAGCTCCCATAGTTGGTTAATGTGTTCATGACCAGCTGTGGTTTGGCAGTCAATGTATCACTTGAAATTAGTTGAGCAGCATTCTTTCATTAGACTGTGTAACACTGTGTTTGGTACTGGCAAAGGAGGTCCCATGATGTAGATGCTCACCCCGAGCTCTCATTACTCTGATGGTGCATTGTCTTGGTGCTGTACGCCTTTTGGCGTCCTCTGGTCTAACACCGTTTAAGACGAGGCTCAAAAGAAAGCTGTCTCTGGTGTGGACCAATCAGTTTAAAGACAATGCATATATTTCATCATGCATATATTATCAGCGGTTTTTTTTGCATTTTGACCACAAGCATTGTGGTTAATGCAGACATGATTCCTTGTAAAAGGTTTCAGTTTGGTGATTTAACATTTTAACACCTGTTTTGTTGCCAGAAAAAAAAGGGAAAACCTATTATCATGTGAGGAAGGTTCCTAGGACTTTTGCTCCATACAAAGGTGTGAGTTCTAAATTTCAAGTTTGTGTGACTGCAAGGATCCATACTCTTTGGTTTATTCGGTAAAGCAGTGAGTGTCCATCGCCAAGGTCTAATCCATATGAGACAAATTTAAAGCCACTTACATGGCAGTCAATTGCACCTATCATGGTATTAGCACTGTGATAAGGTTACTTCCAATTCTTCATGAATAGTGTGTTTTTTTCTAATATGTTATAATGATCCATGTAGGGAGCGGTGGTGCGGTTATTTCACTGCATTATGAACTCAACAAATAGATTGATTATTGCCTAAAACAAACACGATTGATAAGTGAAAGCTGAACTTATTGTGGGCCTCTGCTATGTTGATTGATCTGAAAATAATTACATGGTGAAGTGAGGAAGCAATAATACAGAGCAGATGAAGGGGGCAGTGTGTGACAGTGTCAAGTTTGTATTTGCAGTAAAGTATATTAACCATTGAACAAGGAGGTTACATCAAAAGAATAGTTTATTTTAGTTTTCCTCTGGAACTTTTTATGAGAATGGATACGGTCAGGAAAATATCTCCGCACATGCAGCTGAAGTTACATCTGTTCATCCGAGCATTTAATCAAATCTGAGCCTGGCTTCACACCTGCAAGTTTCGATTGAACATTAATTTATGCACCTTCATGTGGCGATGTCCGAGAACTTCCTAGCTTACATTTAAAAGCAAATTTCTTACATTGACATGCTAATCTCTCACAATACAATGGCCACCCCCACAACTTCGTTTATCAAGATTTCTCCTATCTTACGTTTACATGCAAATCTCATCTCTTGCCCCGCCCAATGACCCTTGGGCTCCACCCATCTTAAACCTTTATAAATCCCTGCCTTAGCTCTGCCGCCATATATTTTTTCCTACCTCAGCAGCTCTCACCTGATGACAATTGCTTGTGTTGCGATCAAAACGTTGTGATATTTATTATTTTTATTATTTTATATTTTTTCTATCTATGTGCCTTTACCAAAAGACCCAAAGAATATAAATTTATGCATAATATAAAGTATTATTTTCAACACCCTTCGCTATGTTAGCTGAATTTTTCTAAATTGTGTGCTTGGAGTTTTGGGTAAACATTCATTTTGAAGATACTAGGGCTTCCGGGCAGGTTTCTGACAACTTGCCCTCTCATTGTGTGCCTTAACAGCCCGTGTGATATTAATAAGTCTAGACGTGCAATTCAAGGGTGACTATATATTTATTCCTCTCTGCCTCGATACTGATGTAGATGGTATGGATATGTTTTTCTGTCTGCAGCCGATGCTTCCTCTAAAGATTTGGTGTGATGGAGCAAAGGCACTCAGCGCAGCTCGGTACAAAAAGGAAACATTGTGACCACCAGTATGCAAACAGCACGGATTGTACTGAAAATTTGACACAGCACCAGAGAACTCTCACAGGAGAGAAACCCTTCAGGTGTAGTGTGTGTGGGAAGGCATTTTTAGATTCATCTACTCTTAAAAAACACCAGAGAACACACACAGGAGAGAAACCCTTCCGGTGCACTGTGTGTGAGAAGGCATTTGCAAAGTCATCAGTTCTTCAGAGACACCAGAGAACACACACAGGAGAGAAACCCTTCAAGTGCACTCTGTGCGGGAAGGCGTTTGCACAGTCATCACATGTTAAAGAACACCAGAGATCACACACAGGAGAGAAACCTTTCAAGTGCAGTTTGTGTGAGAAGGCATTTTCAAGTTCATTTAATCTTAAAATACACCAGAGAACACACACAGGAGAGAAACCCTTCAAGTGCAGTGTGTGTGGGAGGACATTTTCAATTTCATTTTATCTTAGAATGCACCAGAGAAAACACACAGGAGAGAAACCCTTCAGGTGCACTCTGTGCGGGAAGGCGTTTTCACAGTCACCACATCTTCATAGACACCAGAAGACACACAGGCATCAGAACATCCCCAAGGAGTGTAGTCTGAAATCGACTTGTGAAAGTCAAAGTGCTGCAATGAGCCCATCCCTCCTGATAAAAGAACCAGAAGTTAATTCCAGCTTGGACACTATGAAATGTATCAAGGTGAAATGTGAAGTGATGGTGACGAGCGAAGAAGTGAAGGTAAAATGTGAAGAAGTGATGGTGAAGAGTGATGAAGTGAAGGTGAAATGTGAAGAAGTGATGGTGAAGAGCGAAGAAGTGACGGTAAAATGTGAAAATGAAGATTCAACTCCAAAATCGCACCTTCACATTGATGGAGGCAACGTGAAGCAGGAGGAGAATTTTGACTTTGAGACAGAGCATGGCAACTCCGAGCAGTTTGTGGAAGTGGAGGTGTGGGTGGACTTCTTAGACAATACAAAGTCAAATGGAGACCCTGTAGATGTGTAAGCTTGACAATGAAGCTCCAATAAATTCACCTTTCTCACAGGCCTTTAATTAAAATAATGTGAAGATGAACACTCAATTTCCAGGTTCAAACCTGCAAAGGAAGAGCGGCCAGTAATTGCGGACCTGCGGGTTGGGTAGATCTCTATCCAGGAGCCAGAGCCAATAAGCTCCCAAGCATTCACAATGTTTTCATAATATTAGCATTTTTTTGGTGCTTGCTTAATCGCCTCAGCATCTCGAAGTTTCATATCTCATCACAAACACTTGAACAGCATGTTGTATATATGCTTTTTCCAAAAAATTATGCTAAGAGTGATTCTGCCTATTTCTTGTAATAATTTTGATCGGGATGTTGCGCTGGGGCACGGCGAGTTCCCCCCCCCCCCCCGCCTCCTCCCTTGCCACACAAGACAGCTACAGGAAATTACTCACAAGCCTGCTGGGGAAGTCATAAAATGTAATAAAAAACGGCAAACCCACGGGGGGCTAATGAGATTCTGCGGGTAATCCACAGTTGACTTTAAAAGAAGGCCGCCATAAAGGAAACATCCCCCAAATAAAACAAACAAGACGGAAATAGCAGGGGTCAAGAACCACCATTGGAGAGCAATATCCACCCAAGGGCAGTTAATCATCATGAGCTGACTGGGGTTTTTAAAATACAACAGTAAGGTTTGAAGCTTAGGATATCTTGAGAATAAGAAGCACGGATCCCTGGTGATACAGATGGGGAACAAAGGTGAATAAAACCCTCGGAATATCCTTGGTAACAACTATGGTATACCACAAATCTTGGTTAAGCATGAACCAAATCATAGTTATGAAAGTATTAGGCCTAGGGTCATTCAGAACAGATACAATGCGAAATATGTCAATCACACGCGACCAAGATAATGTATTCCACGGGATCAGAGCCTCACCAACCGCCTTTGTCTTCCAGTAGCTAATAGCACATGGTAGCAGTAAATTATGTATGCAGGGGGCGCCGCCCCCTAATATATCAAATACCACGCAAGAATTCCAAACTGCGACGTGAGTGCTGTGAAGTCTGCTCAAAACATACTTTGAGTCGCTTGGAGAGTCAAAACTGCAGAAAGTGGTATGGTTCTAAGCTATTAGAGGTGTACATTTTTTTTACTTCCAACTCATGTTGAGAGGATGGAAAACATGGCGACAGCAAGCACACCCGTGCACAATAGGTCACGACTTCAAAGTCAGTGCCTTTTTTTGAGAGACCGCAAGTCTGATGCGAAAAATTGTAACACTTCTAACCCGTGATGGGAGCGTGGGGAACCCTGCCCAAAATGTGAATGGAAACATGGCGGTAATACAGACATCCGGACAACAAACAGCCCAAGCGACTTCAAAAGGAAACAGCTACCCCTTTGTGAGAAGAAAAAAACCTGAGTTGGAAAAATTCAGATAAGCAAGAATGCAAGAACATAAATCAGTACTGCTCAAAGAATCACCTAACTGCAACTGTGGAGAAGTCCAAACCATCAAGCACATCACCGATGAATGCTCCATCCATGCACATCCTGGCGGTATCGCTGAAATCCACACTGCGTCAACCACATCCTTGGACTGGATGAGGAACCATTGCATTCATTTATGACGATCATTAAAAATAAACCTTTTGCTTTTCACAATGTCATACGAAAAACGAAGTACTGGGAGTGGCAGGCTCCAGGGATTGCCCTCGTGATTAACAAATTCATAGGGTGCTCTGCATCAGCAGAAGCCACGCATCACGGAGAGGTTTCTTTCTGCATCATTGACAGAGGCTGCCAGCCAAGGCTGGTGCTCGCAGTATTACAATACAAACGTGGGGAAGAGTGCAGTAGCATTACTATTCCCGGTGGCGAGGTCGCTGTGTACAACCAACACGTACGATCATAGAGTGACAATCGTTCTGATTGTGCTCTGATCAAAGTAAACCCTTAGAGGGAAAACTGGTGCAACCACTATTCTTGAGAGTGCCCCTTTAAATTACAACTGACAGGTGAAGTTTAGTTGAGGGTTGGATCCGAGAATGACACGGAACGAGATAACTTGATCTGTAGCGTGTCCTCTGTGCAGCACGAGTCGTACATACAACTGGAAAGGGACTCTCTTGAAGAGGGGTGGGGGGGAATACGAAAGGCACTGTCTCTCCAAGTCGCTCCACAGTCTACAAGGATCAACAGTGTTTGGTGCCAAGGGGGGTGACGCACGGCATCGAGAGGACGAGCTTCAAGCGATGTCTGGTGATGGGATCATCACGCACATCGATGCAGACAGCGGGACCCATCATCCCTGCCAGCACGGGCACCGCCGAAATCGTGACGATCCTGCCAACTCAGCAACGACCTCAGCGGTGAAGAGAGACTGATTAAGCAGCCGAGAGCACTGTGTGTTCTACATATGCTGACCCAGCGCCCCTGCGGGGGACCTGAGGTATTTTTGGTACAAGGAACGCAGCACCTCGGAAGTCGCTAACTCAACAGTTAGTAAGAAGACACAACAACCGCCATTCGCCACTCAGCGGCAGTGACGTCACAACGACGCTTGTGCCAGGCTATGTGCACCTTGAGGCCACGTGAAGTGTCGAACGCCTGCTGGCAGGAGGTCTTTCAAAGATTTGTGAGCTCGCACAATCCAGCCGAGTTAAACCCAGGATGGATCGAATGTAGGCCAGCCTAAATGTTTCCAACCGGCGAAGATGCTCCATTAGGGGAGTCTACGTTCCGCAAGCGTAGAGAAGGGAGGTAGCTTCCGCACAGCATACCGCAACCGATAAAATTATGATGCCGCACGACTGATTCGGAATGAGGCCTCCGCTGTCAAACCGGAGCCGGTCATGAGCACACTGCCCAGGTATGGGAAACTCTCCTCTCTCTCCACAACTGCCCCATCACCGATTGGGGATTTGTGTGGGTTGAGTGCCCGATGGTACAAAATACCCAGGCAGGTGCTTAGTTTTGGTGGGGCTGATGGTAAGGCCCCACCTCTAAGTGGCACGCTCCAGGTTCAGCAGGAGCGCCTCCAACTCCTCCTCTGAGTGAGTGGCAATTACCAGATCATCGGCATACATAATGTGGTTGACCAATAGGGAGCCATCCCTTGGCTGCACCCAGGCATCGATCAGCCTCTCATTGTATCTGTACCAGATGAGAATTCTTCTGGGACAGCCATCAAAGTCTTGACAAACTGTGGTCGAAAAATATGTTAAATAATTTGGGAGCCAGAGGACATCCCTGTCGCACCCCAAGGTGACGGGGAATGGCTCCGATTCCCGGCCGCATAGTTTTACCCGGGCCCGCTCGCCATCATGAAGGTCCTTAATGATTGTGAGAGAGTGTCAGAGCCAAGGCCTACTGATGGTATCATAGGTCAATAAAGCAGAGATGTAGGTTTTCGTTGGAATTCTCTACACCTATGCTGCAGCAAACGGACAGAAAATATGGCATCTGTACAGGACTGCCCTTTTCTGAAACCGCATTGGGGCTCCGCAAGCCTCTCAGCGCGCCTGGCAAGGCGATGTTGAAAAATCCTTACATTCTTGGGTTTTTCGGTAAAGTCACGTAGATAGGTTCAACGAAAATAACAAAAAACTACGACGTTTCGATCGCAACACAAGCGGTTGTTTTCAGGAAAAGGGGGATTGGCTTCCACTGTTTATAAGGGGTTTGAAATGGGCAGTAGCCCAAATGTCAGCAGCTAATGATAATGTTAAGTGTAGGGCAGCCCAACCTGACGGTGGTTGGTTTTCCACCAATCAAAGGGCTGCCAGGTACAGCACACCAGTGTGTTGGAGTGCCAAGTCACAACATTTACAATCTGAGTACAACATTTCGCCAGTATTTACTATTGATGAAGCTAGTTGTAATTACTGGCGAAACGTCGTACTTAGATTGTGAATGTTGTAGCTTGGCTCTCCAACACACCGGTGTGCTGCACTCGTGACGAATTGGCATTTGGTTTTACATTACAACCCTGACTAGTTGGCTATGTCGGGTGGTGGCGGGTTTTAACGATACATTTATATATTTACGTGATCTAACCCCAAAAAAACCTCTTATGTATGATATTTGTCGCGAAAGCCTACGTGTTAAACAGTATATAATATAGACTGTAGCAATGGTTATTAAGCTGGGTGAGTGTACTAGGCAGTCTATAATGTAGACTATTACCTTGATTTAAAGCTTTCGTGATGGCAGGAATCCATACTCTTTGGTTCTTTCGGTAAAGTCACGTAGTTAGAAATAAAATAAAACAAATCATGACGTTTCGATTGCAACACAAGCGGTCGTCATCAGGCAAAGGAGTCAGCCTCTAAAGGAAAACTGTTTATAAGGCTTTGGGGATGGGCATAGCCAAAGTGTATCACAGCACCAGGAGCATGGGTGGTGCATGAGTGCCAATGCAACAACAATGCCAATGCTGCAACAATGCCAATGATGCAACAATGCCAATGCTGCAATAATGCCAAACGCTGGGGATGCGGGGGGGAAATTAACTTGGAAAAAATTAACCCGTAAAAACAACGTTTTTCACTATAAATCCTTTATATGCGTGGCATCGGTTTCATTTTATTATTCATTTCTGTTTTTCTTGAGTAAGCAAGCAAGTGAAGTTAATATAAAGGATTTAAAAATGAAAGATCACCTCTTGACATGCCCCGTATATTCCCGAGGGTACTAGCGTTGACCCGTTTTACCACTTTCAAGAACCTGGCGGCTTCAATTTAACTGCTCTATAAATAGTCTCCATTGTACAGCGTGGGGGCAGGGATTTCATGCCATGTGGTTAGTCAACATTTGCGTCATCATGAAACGGGCGTCTAGAGTCCTCTCGTCCTCTGGCTTGAGATGGTTGCCACCTATGGGTCAGATGATTGTCTGCCACCATTAAGCAATTGTGAATTAAATATTTATTTATTTATCCCTAAACAGTGTCAAATTTTGGAAAAAAAATTTTCACGAAAATTAATTGTCACGCACAACGAGTCTGTGTGCAAAATGTCAGCTCGATTGGATCACGGGAAGTGGGTTAAAAAACGACCGAAAGATTTGCACGGTCGTAAACAAGCAAGCAAGCACGCAAGCAAGCAAGTGAACTTAATATAAAGGATTTAAAAATAGACTAGGACCCGGAAGATATGATGCAACAACTGTCGTGGCATCTCTTCAGAAAGGTGAGAGACTCGATCATGTGAGCCTTCTTATCTCGTCGTCTGTTAAAAGCTCTAACATTTGTTAGAGCTCTAACATCTGTTACAGCTTTTAACAGACTGAGACAAGAAGGCTCACATGATCGAGTCTCTCACCTTTCTCAAGAGATGCCGTGACAGTTCCATCATATCTGCCTGGTACAAGTCTATTTTTCCGAGTTAATTTCCTCCCCTCCCGCATCCCCAGCGTTTGGCATTGTTGCTTCATTGGCATTTGTTGCTGCATTGGCATTGTTGCTGCAACGACACTCGGGCACCGCCCGTGCCTTCTGGTGTTGTTGTTACAATTGGGCTACTCCCATCCCCAAACCCTTATAAACAGTTTGCCTTGAGAGGCTGACTCCTTTGCCTGATGATTACCGCTTGTGTTCAGATCTAAACGTGATTTGTTTTATTTTATTTCTAACTACGTGACTTTACCGAAAGAACCAAAGAGTATGGATTCCAGCAGTCACGAAAGCTTCAAATCAAGATTGTTATTATTTTATTATTTGTTCTATCTACGTGGCTTTACCGAAAGATCCAAAGAATAGGAGATATATTCTCCACAAAACGAATTATAATTTTGTATTACGTGCTTATATAGATTTTGTCGAACTACGACTAGAAATGCTCCTTGCTGATTAACATCTGGATGTTCGTAACCATTGGTTGAAGCAAGCCCGGCTGCTGTTGACAAACTGTAGACCAATAAGGGTCCACAGGTGGCTTGCACTAAATCAATGATGCACTCCCAGAAGGCTGTGCTATTTATAGTCTGTGTAAAACATTCCTTTGTTTCGTGGAGAGACCGATAAATGAAAAATGTCGTGTCTGCGGATCTGTTTCATAGCAAGGAGATAATTTTAAGAGCACATTTTAAATGCATTTTTGTTACAGATTTGTATTCAGTTACAAGGCAGAGCACATCTAGGAGATGCATTCTCCGCAACATCACTAATAATTTTGTATGACGTCTTATATATATTTTGGCGAACGAGGACAAGAAATGGTCCTTGTTGATTAACATCTGGATATTCACAACCATCGGTTGAAGCAAGCCTGACTACTATTGAGACACTACACCGAAACCGGTCCACAGTTGGCTTGCACTGAATCAATGCTGCTTTAATTATGGACTCGCAGAAGGCCGTGGGATTTATAGTTTGTATAAAATATCCATTTGTTTCATGGAGAAAAACCGATAAATGAACGAGATGTCCTGTCTGCTGATCTTTTTCATGTCTGTGTACATCGGTATCCCACATTGCTTACCACATGTTTATTTAAATATGTATAAGCGCCCTCAGGAGTCACCTCAAAGTCACAAGTGGGTGATGTCAGCGCCTCCCTATCTCTGGTTAGTGACCTCGCCAAGAGCATAACTCGCCTCGTCCACGGGACATGACGACTGTGCACTGTCTCGGAATTAATTTGCACAGTCATAAAATCTTGACGTACACTAAAGAACATGCACAGAGTTCTTCAGGTGTATTGCGTATGGTAAGGCGTTTACAGGTTCATCCAGAGAATACACGTAAAAAAACCTTTAAGTAAACTGTGTTTTGGAAATCATTTAAAGTGTTATTTTCTTTTTTACCAAAAACGCGTAAAGAAATTACAAGGAAAGCACAGTTTGAAATGAACGTGAGAGTCAGTGCCACAATGAGTATCTCGTAACACAATAGCCAGAATACAATTCCAGCTTGGATACATGGCCAGGAGTGGAAGTGTAAAGTGAAAAAGTGAAGGCCCAAAGTGAAGAAGATTCTACTCCAGGACACGACCTCCATGTGGATGCAGGTAGCGTGAAGCAGGAGGAGCATTCGGACTGTGAAGGAGAGCGTGGCGACCCGCAGGAGTTTGTGGATATGGAGGTGTGAGTGGAGTTTTTAAATGCATGCAGCTGTAGGCGTCATCCATTCAAGTTATGAGCTTTCAATAAATATGCAGTCGCAGTGTAGTGAAATATTTTCTAATTTCAAAGAGTGCCTTTTTTCATAATCTAGAAGCATAATTTGATGGTTATGCATGAAGATACGTTGCTTCTATATGTTAACTGTTGTACATTACCATTAAATTGGCTGCCGTGTGTCGCGTTGCCTTTCTGCAAAGCTCCCAATCTGTCAATCTAATTATTATGCTTTACTTCACACAGTACACTTGAATGCAATATACAAATCGCACTCATCTTTTCATCGACTGTGTTAAGCTGTGTGGAAGCTGTGACGTACTCAACCATATAAATAATTTGCCGGGATCACCCATTAATGTTGGCCAGGTTACTAGTGCCTGTATAGTGGGTTAATTTCGTGCGATTTGTTACGCAACTTTTAACTTGAGGCGACAGGTTATTATCGTTGACTGTATTTAATTGTAGGCCAGTCACCAACAAAATCAAGAGCCGCCATTTACCACCATATGGTGGTGAGGTCACCATGGTGCTTGTGCCAGACCAGGTAAATTTAGAGGCCACGTGAAGTGTCGAAAGCTCACTGAGAGACGGTAACGGGGAAGACCCAGGTGATATGGGATGTCTGACGGAGATGCCTCTCGGATCCACCACCTGTGCCCCCTACACATTTCCACATAATAGCACAACGTCGAAGAGTAAGTCACACAAACACAATCTTACAAGTAGTTACAACCAAAAACACGTCCACTCAAACCTATGTGGGGGCCGTTGGCCCCCGGGGTCCCTCCCGCCTGCATCCCCTATTTCGTTTACGTTACCCCACCTCCCTATTTCCCGCTACGGTTTCGCCGGCATTCGAACGCGACGCCCCTACTGTTACAGCCTCGCGCCGCGCTCCCACGCTGCGAGCATACGTGCGCACAGCATCATCAATCAAACGCCATACTCCCCCTCTTTACCCCGCTACGTACAGCTCTCGCACGCTGCGAGCGTGTGCCCGTCTATAGCCCTGTGCGGCACTCGCCTCCACGTCGAATTACCACGTTACCAATGCGCACCCGTATCTGACACGTAACGAACGTATGCGCACTCACGCACACATTTCCCCGCGGCACTCACCACTGAATACTCGCGTTATGATCGCGCACCTGTATCACACACGGAGTGAGCACACGCGACACCCACTCTCGCGCCGCTCTGCGCAGTGCTCCCCCGAGGCGAGCCGCAGCACTACACGCGTTCACACCGCTCACGAGATCACACGAGGCCACGATTCGCTATTAATGATTTATTATCTGCTACCTGGTAATTAATGTTAAATCAGTGAGTCGACGAGGCTGGCCTGTACCTATTCCCTATATATCGGTTATGACCCTACTTCACCTCCTTACTCACTGCTGGGTGCCCACGGCGGTTTGCTGCTCCTTGTGTTAACAGCGTACCTCGGTGCGTCGCACGGACGTCCGGGTCGCTGGCTGGAGCTGCGTCTGGTCCTCTGGCGCTGGAGTAAGAGAGCGATTTCCCCTTTGCGCCCCCTATTTATCCTCCCTACCTCAAAGGGAAGCGGCTCTGAACAATGGGCTCGCGCCCCTCTAGCACGCGCACGGCTGTTCCGAGCGCTTTTGATATGCTAATCAGTGTGCGGCGTGCGCGGCGTAAATCCTAATTAATCCCTTACCCTCCCTAACAATGGGGCCTGCGCGCTCAAGCGTAATTATCCCAACCCTCCATGACTATGCGCAAGAGCCCCTGCGGTCCTGCTATTCATGCTGTCCCGTCCCTCCCCTGCTTGCCCCGTCGCCCCGTGGGGGTGTGTGTGGGGGGAATGCGCCTCAACCGCGGTGGCCGAAATGCCCCACGCCGCGACCATACCATATAAAGGCCGGTCGCAGCGCCGCGGCGCAACGTAGCGTCGGGGGAGGTCGTCCAATTCCCTGATCGCCGGAAACCGTGAGAGTTAATCCCGATAAAGGGTTTCTCGGATAAAAACCGGTCGATCAGGTGATCTCCCCTTCCAGCTCTATGGGTGGGGGGAAAATGCGTGCGGGTGTGTTCATGTGAGGTGAGGTGAGGGGGACGAGGGGTTGGCTCCGTTGCTTGGTGGTGGCGAGGTCGGGTAAGGGGCGCCTGCCGAACGGCTTCGTGGCGGCGGCATCACGTAGCTCCCCGATGTGCCAGTCCCCGTCCCGGGTTGACTGGAGCACCTCGCTTGGGCCGCGCCCACGAGGAAACGTTGCGGGGTCCGGGGGATCCGTCCGGACCTGGTGGCTGGTCTCGGGGCGGGTGGTTCCGTCCTCTGTAGCTCCTGCAGCGGCCTCCTCCTCCACTCCAGCGGCTCTCCCCGTCCTCCGGCACCTGTGGGCTGGGGCACAAACTCAGCAGCGCAAGGGTTTAGGGCCCGTCGTCCGCGCCGTCTCCGGACTGGATCGGGGCATCTCGGGGGCCCGGCGGGGCCCATGTAGTGTGCGAGGCCCCCCAACACGAGAGGTGCGGGTACTCCGGGATTTTGGGGCCTTCAGGTGACGGGGTTCTCTCTCGCCGGGGCCGCTTTCTACGTTTTTTTAAGGGGCGGACGTTGACCACCGTCTCTCGACCCCTCTCCCCGCCATAAATTAGTACCGTCCAGGGGGAGATCTGCCGCACCACGGTCCAGGGTCCCCGCCAGTAGGTCGTCAGTTTCCCCACCTGCCCGGCCCCGACGCGAGGGGTGTGTAGCCACACCTTAGCGCCTGTCAGGAATGCGGGGTCGGGTGCCCTGTTCCTGCCGCCGATGCGCGGCTTCCCCTTGCGGGTATGCTCGGCCTCGGGCTTCTCGCAGGGTCTCCAACAGGTGTTCCACGGGGCGGCTTCCCTCCGGCTGGGGGGAAGGGACGCCGAATAGCAGATCTGCGGGTAAACGAGACTCACGGCCGAACATCATTAAAAACGGGGTTTGTCCCATCGACGTGTGTACGGTGGTGGCGTAGGCGAAAAGGGCGTAGGGGAGGTGTTCGTCCCAATCCTGTTGATTTGCGGCCGCCATACGTTTGAGTTTCCCTGTTAGGGTCTGATTCAT